AAGAGCGCAATGATGGTGCCAACTTGGGCCAGTGAAGCAACGTCCTCCACAACTAGACTGAAGAACAAAAGGACAGCAACTTGTCTGTTCCCGTTCCCCCAATTCCCCAGCACTGTTCCCATCCCCCAATTCCCCAATTAAAAAAAATATATATGATACCCAGGATAGTATTCAAAATAATTGAAGGATGAGGGGTTATTATATTCTAATTAAAGTTTTTTTTAAAAATCACCTCAACTAAAAAGAGCAAGAAAGATGAGTCAAAACATTACCTCCATTTTGATGTCTGTTTCTGAGTCTAATCAGTTAAATTAGGAGGTTCTAATGTGACTTTCAATATTTTTACAGTGTCATTTCGGGCTCGTTATCACATGGTGAACCTAGTCATGGATTGGCTGATAAAGTCATTAATTGCAGAGAAGTTCTGGAAGCTTTCAACCTCCTGGTACTCCAGGTTAGCTCCTTTCCGTACACTCTACAAACGCAACAGTCCCGAATCAGCTCCAGCAATGAGGTTCACTGGATACAGCTTGACAGCATGGTGAGTCTCTGTTCTACTCTGACACACAGTGGTGTTCCTAGTTCCCTGGGACAGAATCTTGTAGAAAAAGATGATCATGGCTTTGTAAAATAGAGCACAAGAGTTCAAAAATCTAACATAATGCTTTATCCTCTCAAAGTTTCATAGAATTACAATTATCATAAGAGCAAAAAACTAGAGTACAGTGTCCTATATAAATTTGATGAGGTGGGTTTTTTATAGGTTATCATGTAGATATAAAATTATCCATCCTATATAGTTCGTCCCCCAAAATATGATGTTATCTGACAATAGCATTAATATCCTAAATTATCTTTGTGATTTTAACTGATTAATTTCAATCTGAGACCTGGAAATTTTATTTTCCTCTTGGATGGCTTCTCTGTCATGTTTTAGTCTTACTGATCTGTATCACTGTTAATTATTTCATGCTCCCCAGCAACTGGATTTTTCCTTTTAGTCAGTTCTCACATATTTCTACTTGAAACAGAGGATGATGGTACTGTGACTTTACTTAGTAAGTAGCATTTAATATGTTGAGAATAGCCTTCACAACATTGTACATATCCAGGTCTTTATATTTTTCGGTCCAATTCCTAATACCTGAAAAATATTTTCTATCACCTATAAACTGCATGCTAAATATACTATCAAAGAAAAGAGATAGAAGCTTCATAAAAAAAAACAATAAATATTAACCATTAAGCAATGGATCCTTCATTTTAAAATATTGAACATATGGGCCAGCCGAGTGGCGCGATGGTTAAGAACTGGCTTGGGATGCCAGATGGCCCCGGTTTGGATCCCACATAAGAGGGCCAGTGACACTGCCCTCTACAGCTAAGATGCTGAACAACAGCTTGACCTGGAGCTGGGCTGCCGTGAGTCGCCAGCGACGGCGTAGGCTGCAGTCCCCTGCTGCAGTGGGCTGCCATACGCTACCATGTGTAGCCAGCAGCCGCCGTGAGTGGCCATCCAGAGGCTGGCGACTGATCAGACTCACCCGGGAAGAGCGCAATGATGGTGCCAGCTTGGGCCAGTGAAGCAACATCCTCCACAACTAGACTGAAGAATAAAACAACAGCTACTTGTCTGTTCCCCTTCCCCCGATTCCCCAGCGCTTTTCCCCTCCCCCAATTCCCCCAATAAAATCTTTTTTAAAAAAATTGAACATATTAGATTTTTTAAAATAAACATGTTTAAGTAAAATATGCCAGAAATGGGCTGGCCGAGTGGCTCAATTGGTTAAGAGCTCGCTCAAGAGTTTGAGCTCTGAGCAACAGCGGTTCAAGTGCCAGCCCAAGTTGAGCTGCCGCTGAGCTGTCAACAGGTGGCAGGATGGCTCAGCTTAAAAAAAAAAAAAAAGAATGTGAGGGCAGGGAAGAAACAGTGAGCAAGATTAAATATGCCAAAAATGTCTTACACAAGAATGACTATTATTTTATGAACCCAGTACATTGTATTCTGATATGAAGTAGGTAAGTTTCCCGGATTTAGCTTTTCTCTTTGAGTATTGGCTTGTTCTTTGCAGTAAAGCAAGCTCACGTCACTGACTCTCCTTGGCATCAACAGATTCTCCTTTATGAGAACTACCTCATGTGTTCACTATCACATACAGGTTGCTTTGAGCTTTTACTTTGTTGGTATCTTTTCCACCCCAGCTCTGTCCATTAATTGGGTGGTCAAGTCATGGGTGAGACAAGAGGCTACCACAGTTCCTTTGCCACTAAAGCATAGGGAACGCCTGTGGGCTACCCAAGGAGTTGCCCTGACACAGAATGGATTGCCAGTAGAGCTGAGGAAAGGAAAATTTGTTTTTTAATCCAACAGATAGTTCTCCTATGAAATATTAAGTTTCAATACATGATTGGGGGAAAAAGAGAACCATTCTAATTTACCTTGTTAGCTCAGTCTTTTCCAGAGAGATCACACCCATGATAGGAAGGACTTTATCTTCTCCTGACATGAAGTAATAAGAGAAAAAGGCTTAATTAAATTTTCATTAACAATCATTCTTGTGGATTGTGGTTAATTTTTTAGGTATAATAATGGTATTGTGGTTATATTTTTTAAAAGTTCTTATCTTAGAGATATCTATTGAAGTATTTATGGATTAAAGATATGATACCTAGTATTATATTCAAAATAATTGAAGGATGGGGAATTATTATACTCTAATTAAAGTTTAAAAAAATCATTCCTATGAAGTTGAGATGAACATAGTGAAAGGTAAAAGCTTGAATCTAATTTATAACAACTTTATACACTTAGGGGAGAAGCTCCTAGCAATTAGCCTCCTTTAGTTATCCTAACACCAGTGTCCTAAAAAAGGAATAATTGGGAAAAGCAAAGAAACCCAACTCAAAAAATATCATTGAGCACTTTTGGCTTGTGTTAGTTATTTCCAAGGACACAGAGAGAGATGATAGTTTAGAGGACAAAGCAAGTGCACATCAAAGTCACTATTATCCAAAGTGGAATAAGACACAGATAGAGAAAACAGATTGGTGACTGCCAGAGGCGGGGGTGTGGGGTGGGCAGAATGGTTGAAGGTGGTCAAAAGGTACGAACTTTTGCTTATAAGCCTGGGGATGTAATGTAATATAATGTATGGTGACTATAGTTAATACTGTATGGCATATTTGAAAGTTGCTAAGAGAGTAGATCTTAAAAGTTCTCACTACAAAAAAAAAATTGTAACTATGTGTGGTGATGGATGTTACTGTGACCATCATTTCACTATATATATATATATATATATATATATATATATATATATCTCAAATCATAATATATACGTATATATAATCATTATGTTGTACACTTGAAACTAGTATTATATGGTAACTATATCTCAAGTCAAAAAAGAAAAAAAAATCAAGTTGTATACATCAAATATGTACAATTTTTTTTGTCAAAAAAACAAACAAACCATAAAACAAAACCAAAATAGAATAAGACAATTTCAAAAAACCAAAATACTCTGGAGTTGAAAGGAAGAAGTCTCATTCATTTGACAGGTGACATGGAGGAGAGAGCACTGAGGATGGGCTTTGGAACAGGGGGAGGACGGAGCACACAAATGGGGAGCAGCTGCCCCTGGCAGCAGATAGCTTGGGCAGAGCCACAGGAGGAGGAAACATCAGCATTTTCCAGAGAATACTTAGTGGGATGAAAAAGAAACCTGGAAATATACATATGGAACCTTTGAGTGCCAGACTGGCAAAGTTTACATTTATTACATAGGCATTAACAATTTTTTTTAATCAAAGGCACAGTATTATTGGAAATATCAGAATATACATATTTCTTTTATTTTTTGTATTAAAAATGTAAATGTGCAGCTCAATGAATTTTCACAAACTGAACACACCCGTGGGATCAGCACCAAGATGAAGAAATGGAACATTACCACCACCCCATAAGCCAGGCACTCACTCCCCCACCAAAGGGCAACACTCTGGCCTCTTACATCATAGATTTGGTTTGTCTGGTTTTGAACGTTATATAAATGGAATACACTCTTTTGTATCTGGCTTTTTTTGCTCAACATTGTGAGATTCTTCTATACTTTGCATGAGTCATAAAACAGTCATTCTTATTCCTGTATATAGATTATACTGGGTGACCACAACAATTTATTTATTCATTTATTTATTTCAAATAGTGCTGATGTAACATGCTACAACATGTTAGGAGATACTGAGAGGCTGCATTTTAAGGCAGTTCATTTAACTACAGAGGCTAAATCAGCATGGTTAGAAATGGGGAGATCAATCATCTGGCTTCTCTGATAATTCAGGTTAGAATTAACAAATACCTGATTCAGAAAAGCAGTCCTGACAATAAAAAAGAATGGAAGAAATAGTAACCTTCCTAGGATTTGTTTATTGGGGTATGGGGAAGAGTCAGAGATCCTTGAGGTGATGCCTGTAGTTGGAAAGAAGTCAGGAAGAAGATTGATTGTGGAAGGCAGACAAGACGGATTTTAATGAGCTAAGTCTGAAGTGAGTGCACCATTGCACATGCAAAGTTGGAGTTTGACTTGGGGCTTTACAGTGAGGATTTGGAATAGTTTTTCAAAACAGTGATCACTGAAGCAGCTTGTGTAGATAAAATTGTGGAAGAAAAATAATGAAAAAAATTGCCAAGAGGGCAGTGAGGCCAAGGACTGGCACGTAATGCCACTGGATTTGGCCTCGGGAGTCCTTGGTGACCTTCCAGGGAACAGTGTCCATACAGCAGAGTGTTTGGCTGGAGGAAAAGCAGAGACAGCAATGAAAGGACAGGGAGAGTTGCAGCGTGGGGTCACTGCACAGACAGGACTTTGGGAGGGTGGAGATTTTTTTAAGATATGGAACATTTTCCCCAAAGACATAAGGATTCAATAAATCATTTTATGATTTGTGATACATGGTGATGCATGCTTCTTTATTTTTTTATTTTTTAAAACTTTATTAAATTCATTGGGGTGACATTGGTTAATAAAATTATATAGGTTTCAAGCATACAATTCTATAATACATCATCTATATATTGCATTGCATGTTCACCACCCCAAATCAAGTCTCCTTCCATCACCATATATTTGATCCCCTTTACCCTCTCCTCCCTCCCCCTACCCCACTTTCCTTTTGGTAACCACTATACCGTTGTCTGTGTCTATGAATGTTCGTTCATTTGTCTTACTTGTTCGCTTGTTGCTTTCAGTTTTATATCCCACATATAATTCAAATCATATGGCTCTCGACTTTTTTCATCTGACTTACTTTGCTTAGCATGATAATATGTTTCTTTAGAATAACATCATTCAGAGTTTCATAACTTATATTTTAAAGGATGGTCCCATTAACTTCTATGACAACTTTTGTAGTACAAACTACAGTTACAGTTTAAACATAACAGATTAGTGAAACTGTTCACTTCTAATTCTTAGTTTTAGTAGTCCTGGTTCTTAAAACCCATACTGGCTCCAGTAGGTCACAAGCCATCATTTAACAACTTGTCCTGTAATTTTGCTGAGAAAGAAGAGAAATAAAAATGAGGACAGGTGGATATATCCTAACCAGCAAGTTAAAATGCTGCATCAGGAAAAGGAGCAGGCTTGGAGGAGGATTTTATATTCCCCAAAGAAACAAGACTGGAGATGAGAAGGAGTTTGAAGATCAAGCTCATATGACTTAAAACTTTTCCACTAACTCTGTGCCAGCTCCAGATAAGGAGGAAAACTCAGCTGAATGACTTTTTTCATCCTAAATGACTTATGACACAATTATCCAGAACACAGCCAAGAACTTAGCATAAAACAAGCAAACAAACAATAGATGTCGTTCAATCTATGCTCTAAGGTTCCGGGATTTATAAGAACATTTTCAAGTCTTTATTTGTAGGAACATAAGTAAACCACATTTACTCTCAAATAAGACCCTGTTCCAACAAGCAGGATTCCTGGTTTTGAGGATCTCAAAAAGTTAAAAGCTGCCAATTAAATAGTACTTTATTTTTATCTTATAAACCTTATAAATCACACAATTGCTCATCTCTTTGGATGGGTTACTAAAAAACTCAGAAACAAATTTGTAGCTCACTTCTAACAAAACATGCAGATACTTCTGATATGTATTTTTGGGAGAACTAACTTTATTCCTGGCCAATCTCATTTCTCTTATCCTTGCTTTTTCTTTCTCTGATTGCCTAATTTATTTTTATCTTACACATTTTAAGCTGCTGTATTACCTTTTTGAAATGATTTGGAGAGTGTATAAAGAAAAATGTCAACACATAATAAATAACAAATAAAAGTGAGATGAAAATGCACAGGCAACATAACAGGAAGAAGAGATGACTGTGGAAAAGTTATGTACAAGAGAGGAAAGAAAAAAAACAAAACACCAGATACATGAACTCAAAAAGCTTATTGAATATTCTGGGGCTACTTAGTTTAAGGACAAGCAGCTTGTCAGACATCTCAGGCTCCTCTGAGGGAATCTGTGTCACATCCTAGAATAGCTATTCATTTCCACAGTGATGACTGAGTCATCAGAAAGGGAGATAAATACTGTACATTATGTTTAAGAAGGTGAACAGTATATAGTCCACTTTTAAAATAAATTTTGTTTGTAAAAGAATAAACTTTTATGAGTTATCATTAAATGATATCAGAAAAGTTTTCTGTAATTGAGGAGTTTTTCAGTTTGTCAATCTCCAGAGAGTTCTACAAGATAGCATATATATCAGTATAGAGAGATCTGCTTTAAAAGGGGGAAAAAATCTGACCTTGTGACAGTACCAGCCTAAAAAAATGTGATTCCTCCAAATCTATCTGAACAAAAATGAAAACAAACCAATCTATGTAGTTACCATCTGTCCTAAGAAAGCAATGTCAACATTCTACTAATAACATATTAAATTTATTTGAACTAAAAAGAAATTTCAGTTATGCCTCAGAGATTATTTTAGAGTTAGTACCAGGTTATATAATGAAACATTTTTTTCAGCTTTATTGAAGTATGATTAACAAATACAACTGTAAGATATTTAAAGTGTACATTGTGATGATTTGGTATATGTATATATTATGAAAGGTTTCCTCCCATCTAGTTAATTAACACATCCATCACTATTTACACATATTTTGTTAAGAACATTTAACTTCTACTTCCTTAGCATATTTCAATTGTATAATATAGTGTTATCAACTATAGTCACCATGTTATACATTAGATCCTCAGGCCTTATTCATCTTATAGCTGAAAGTTTGTACCCTTTTACCACCCTCTCCCTATTTCCCCCAGCCGGCTAGCCCCTGGCAACCACTACTCTACTCTGTTTCCATGGGTTTGAGTTGTTTTGGGGTTTTTTTTCCCTTAGATTCCACATATAGGTCAAAAAATGCATTATTTGTCTTTCTCTGTCTAATTTATTTCACTTAGCATAATGCCCTCAAGGTCCATCCATGTTGTCACAAATGGCAGGATGTCCTTTTTCATGGCTGAATAATATTTGTATATATACATACATATACAAACATATATACGTATCTTTATTCATTCATCCATGATAGACACTTAGGTTGTTTCCATATCTTGGCTATTGTGAGTAATGCTGCAGTAAAGAGTGAAGACGGAAGTTCAGATATCTCTTCAATATACTATTTTCAGATCCTTTGTATATATACCCAGAAGTGGAATTGCTGGATCATATAGTAGCTATACTTCTAATTTCTTGAGGCCCCTCCATACTGATTTCCATAGTGGCTGCACCAATTTACATTCCCACCAACAGTACACAAGGGTTCCCTTTTCTCCACATCCTTGCCAACACTTGTTATCTCTTGTCTTTTTGATAATAGCCATTCTGAAAAGTGTGAGGTCTCATTGTGTTTTTGATTTGATTTCCCTGATGATTAGTGATGTTGAGCATCTTTTCATGTACCTGTTGGCCATCTGCATGTCTTCTTTAGAAAAATTTCAGTTTCTCTGCCCATTTTTTAATTGGATTTTTTTTTTGCTATTGCGTTATGTGAGTTCTTCATATATTTAGGATATTAACCCCTTATCAGATAATAGGATTTACAATTATTTTCTCCCCTTACATAGGATGCCTTTTCATTTTGTTAATGGTTTCCTTTGCTGTGCAGAAGCTTTTTCATTTGCGTTAGTCCCACTTGTTTATTCACAATTGTTTTAACCTTCTAGGAAATAACCTATTACAGGGTTTTCCCCCTAGAAAACAAGACATATCGTATCCTGTCCTCACTGAGTTTTGCTCTGTATTTTGAATCAGGAGGACATGAGCTGTGAGGAGAAGCTATACTTCGGCTTGAATGAGTACAGTAAGTCTCTGCAGTGGGGGATCACAAGCCCGCTTCTGAGATGTGACGAGACTTTTGAAAAAATGGTGAACACGCTCTTGGAGAGGTAAGTGAAAACCTTCAACATTTTCCTTAGCTGTATATCTAAAATAGCCCAAAGTCTTTTGTGTCAGTGTCACAGGAGTTTGATGGAGCCCCGGCTGTGCATTTGACATGTGAAGGAATAAAAATAGCCTTTCCTAAGATGACCTTTTACATATATGAGTTTTCTATGATCATCCAAGACCAACAAAGGACATTAGTGACTAAAAGTGGGACTTAGAACCACTTTCCATGCCCTGAATTGTCTCTCCCAAGCATACTTCACGTTTTTACATGTTTCCCTGTTTTCTCTTCTGTCCTCCACAGGCAAGTACTCTTAGATGGCCTGGTAAAAAGTAAACTTTACTATGAGAGATTTGGAGTGTAGACTGGAGAAAATGAATGCACAATGAGATCATTTAGTGAGTTCAGTTCTAATGCCCTTTCTCCAGTCCCCAACCTTGGGAGTTAAGGATCATGACTCCTCTCTCCTCTGTCTTTTTGCCCCCCGGTTCCAGGTCAGACTCTGAAAGAGTACAGGGTTTTCCTGTATTTGTCCTCTCTGATATTGAATCATGGACTCAAAGAGTAGGGAGAAGCATTAGAATTTGCCTGACCTAGTAGAGGTGCCTCCCTGCCCTCCACAATATTCTGTCTGCTCATCCAGTGATGGGGTAAGTGGGCTCTATGTGCTGAGGCGCATTCTAAGTTGTAGTAGCTTAGTAGAGTTCTTCACACTGGCTCCAGCTGATCACAAGCCGTCTATGTAACAACCTGCCATATAACTTCGTTAAAGAAAAAGAAAAAGAAATAAAAATGAGGACAGGTGGATGCATCCTACCCAGCAACTTACAAAGCTTCATCAGGAGTAGGAGTTTATATTTTTGCAGCTGTTGGATTTGAGGACTTAACTGACACTGTGGCATTAATCCTGTCACATCACATGTGATCTTAGATTTCCAAAATCAGCCCATGTGTCTTCCCTTTAAGTGTTTCCCACCCACCCATTCCATCCGCCAGCTTGGAATGTATCTTTCCTTCCCATAACTTCATTCAGAGTTTTATAACTGGTATTTTAATGGATAATCTCATCAACACCTATTACAACTTTGGTAATACAAAACTACAATTACAGTTTAATGCAAACAGATTGGAAAAACTATTCATTTCTATGTTCATGCTTCTTTCAGAGTGTGAAATCTAAATGCTTGTATATCAAAGTTACTGTTTGTTCTAATTTTGTCTTTCCTACATGGCCCAGCCAAAAACATTGAGCTTTAAACATGGATCATCTGTGCTTACTTCCTCCAACCCAGTCACCCCAGGCTAATAATAGCTATGATTTATTGAACACTTGACGGGACTAGCTGAGGATTGATTGAACCTAAGGACTTCACCTTTCCCCAATCTACTGAATCCTTACAATGTAAGAAGACATTGTCAGAGACCTGAGTAAAATCTAGACCCAGCTCTGTCTCTGACCAGTTGGATGATCTTGGGCAAGTAGCAGTTGAATTTCTCTCAGCCCCTTAACTCATTTTCCTACAAGAAGGTGGAGTGGTCAGAATCCAGGGACTCTATGATCCTTTCCAACTCTAACGTACTTCAAAACCACATGATTCATTTGTTGACCCTAGTTGGTATTTGACACTGGGCTTTTCTGTGAAAGGACAGTGAACCACTTGTTTTACTTTAAATAGAATTATGAAGTGGAACAGAGGTGAAATCCTTCATTGGCCTCCCAGCTGCTAGGCAATTGCATGTGCTACCAGCTGGCAACCAGAAAGAAAGCTCACAGACTCACCCTCGTTTTGCCAGTGCCTGCTTTCTTGACCTGCGCCTCTTCATGCCTGCCAGCGGGTCCTCTGCGCACTTGTGCTCATTTTATCAGCAAGCCTGGCTTCCTGAGGAACAGCACATAATAAGAGATTTATTTTCTGCCCGCCATGTAATTGTAAAAACTGCCAATTTAAACAAAGTGATCCTCTTACCTGGCAGTCCAGGCGGGGGTAGTGCTAGAACTATGGTCGTTGAGAGAAGTCAGGGACACTCCTGCTCCTTGCCGGCCTCCCTTTACTGAGCAGGGCGCAGATGATAGGCCACACCACTAGGGGGTGCTATTTCTCCAGCTCCAAGTTTTCTCCGGCACCAAGGCACGTTTTATGGGAAGATATAGTTACTGCTGTGGGGCTAATCTCAAATTAGTAATAACAATTACTCTTTTTATGTCTGATACTCTACAGACATGATATTAAAGTCTCAATTTCCTTTACTGTAATCTTAAGTATCAGAAAAGAAGCTGACAACACCGCCATTTCTAACTCAATGCCACCAGCAAGCGGTTAGGATCCAGGGATGATCCATTATGACAATTAACCTGACTAGACCAGTGCTTCTCAAAATTTAATGCACATACACATCATCTGGGGCTCTTGTCAAGACATGGATTCTGATTTGGTATGTCTGCAGTGGTATGTCTGCGGGGGTATGTCTGATTTGGCGTTTCTGACAGTCCCCCTGGCGTTGCTGCTAGGTGCTGCTGCTGGTCTGCTGGTCCACAGACGACACTTCCAGAACCTGGGGTCGCGAGACCATCCCTAAACCTCTTTTACTTGCTTGCCTATCCTCACAGGCTCTGATTCACAGGCATTGGAAGCTCAACTTTTCCTTCTAGTGATGTGGGCTCCAAGGTCGTTCTAGAGCCCAAGCCCATCACTCACTGATGATCACTAACCCCTTCCCGCCATGCTTGGTCTGCATCCCTGCTGCACAGACCTTACTGCCCCAGGTGGTCCTGCAGCCCGAGCACTAGCTCCTTGTGTTTTGTTGAAGGTACCCCAGGCTGCACAGTATGGTCGTCCGCTGCTACCTTCTCATCCAGCAGTACTCAGAGGCTCTGATGGCTCTCACCACCATGGCGTCCCTCCGAGACCACAGCACACCAGAAACACTCAGCATTATGGATGACCTCATCAGCTCTCCAGGGAAAACCAAAAGTGGGAGGGGACACATGCTCATTATCAGGGTGCCCTCCGTGCAGCTGGCGATGTTGGCCAAGGAGCGGCTGCAGGAGGTGCGCGACAAACTGGGGCTGCAGTACCGTTTCGAGATCATCCTCGGGAACCCTGCCTCTGAAGTCAGTGTCGCAACTCACTTCGTGGCGCGATTAAAGGTTAGCAATGGATGGACATTTCTCCTTGAAATACCGGTTTGTTTCTGTTTTCTGGGAATCCCACATGGGTGGCTCAGAGACCTGAGTTTAATAGGGTTTTGCATATGTGTCCATCTGATCTTCATGACACTGTTAATGCTAAACTAAGGGACAGGTTCACTTCCCTGATTGGAACCAGCTGGTTAAGATTCTGTCAAGCCGCCCTGTTTAGCATGTGCCTGCAGTTTGGTCTTCCATGCTGTTCAACTGCAGGTGCAAAAAATGAGATGACCCAGTTTGACCTCATGTTTATTGACCTTGTTTGAGATGCATCTAGCCCATGACCATCTGTTTTCTCAGAAAAAGAAATAGAAATTGTTCTCTCAGACCTCTGTGGGGTCTTTAAATATCATCAGTTCACTAATACTTTTCTGTCCATCTAGCTGTCAGCTCATGTCTAGAGTTGGTAAAGTATTCTGTTTTATCTTCAGTACTCATGTAGAACTATCCCATGCCCTCTTGCATGTGGATTCTTCAACAGTTTGTTGTTTTTTTTGAGCTGCTTTGACTCTCAGGGCCAAGGCTTGGGATGGACTGAGACACCCAAGTATCCTGGATAGGGACTTGGTGCACGAGCAAGCACTCCGCCCCTCTGCATGGCCAGGGCTGGCTGCTTTCCCTAAACCCCTCCTGTTAGGCAGCGGAGGGGGAGAGTTTCTAAATCAACTAACCTAACTCCCTACCTTATGCCTGCTCAGGTTTTTCTGGGGACTTTTACAATCCAGTGTGTCCTAGCCATTAAGAAACATGTAATAAAACACCTGTATGCATATCAGTACAGCACTGAGCTACCTAGATACTGCATGTCTGA